CGTTTCGCATTCAATTTTCTACGAGCACTTCTCTGCGCAATCATCACCGAAACTGTTCTACCCATGTCACTCACAATTGTATTCAGCAATTTTTGAATGAAGAGACGTCTCATCCCATCCTCAATATGAGAATTCATAAATGTTTGAGTACTTTTAATCTTCCATCTTGTTTGTAACATTACAATTGTCACTTCTTTTCTCAATGCATTAATACAATTCCAGGCTAATTTCCCATCATAAATAAATTCGGAGTTTTGTTTTAAAAGTCTAAATAATTCATCTAAATATTCTATCAAAATAACTGCTATTTTCCACAATTCGAAGTTTGCTGCCATCGTTTCATTCCTTGTGTCTTCTTCTACTGATTTCAATAGTTTTACTACTTCTAAACTCTGAGATCTAACATTTGTAATAGGAGATTCTAATGGATATTCTTCTTCTGTAAGCAATATTTTAGGAATTTCATTTTCCATTTTAATTCTTTTGCTTTCCTTTTGAGATTTCTCATGATTTTTTACAGTCCAATCTGCTATTACCGTGTGAAACAAGTCACTCTCTTCGACTTTTGTTGAATCGCGCATCATTTCACTCGGTGCACTTGCTAGAGATTCAACATGTGTATTTTGTTGTTGCCAAGATGTCTGTATTATTTTAGCAGCATTATGTCTGATTTTGTCATGCATATCCATCTTTCTGCCTTCTTTAATATTACTCCACCAATTATGCAGAATAACTACAGAGTAAGTTTCTTCAGCATCTTTAAACAAATTTCTTAATCTATTTTTTATCAAAACTCCAAAAACGAAACTTTCTGCATAGGAACCAGGTATGAAATTCATTTGATACGACTCATTAGAGACTTTCCACCATGTTTGAATTGTAAGCGCAATAAAGTTCAACTTAATTTCATTGATGTAATTCAGCAACTTGAATTTAAATTTTTTGTCTCCTGCAATAACTTTTTTCTTCATCATCAACAAAAATGTTTCAATAGATTCCGTTGTTTTATATGCCGATATCCACAAAGCATGAGCTGTTTCTTCCTTTTGTAGTAACTGCAGCTCCTTATGATATTTTATTTCTTGTTTTTGTATAATGCATCTCTTCTGCCATTTCTGTATAATTATGATTGCCAGTTTCTCTAGAAAGTCTTTAAGCAGAAAGGTAACTCTTGTACGAATCATGTGACCAAAAGCTAGTGATTTGATAGACTTCGGATCCATTTGATTCTTTAGAAGAGTTTTCCACCAAGTTTGAATCAGCGAAGCCAAGAAATCGTGCATCATTTTTGTCATAAATACTCTCAACGATTTTCGGTAAGTAGCGTTTCTTCTTTGAGCCTGTTCTAGCATATATTTGCTCTTCTTCTCAATGTTTTGGCTTCTATTGAATGCCTTAATCCAAATTTCATGTTTCTTACCTGATTTGCTTTCAGCATCTTTCTTTGGTGATCCAATCTGAACATTCTCAGAAACTAACTCTATATTTGGCACTAATTCGCGTTCTATAAGCAACTGATCATAAACCATATCGGAAATTGATCCTGAATTGTATTCTGTGGAATTTCGACTGGAATGAAAATCAATAACCATAGGTTTTTGAACATTAGTACTCTTCGAACCGTATTGGTGTTGCTCGGTTTCATATTCTTCTTGTTGAGGATTTTTTCGATTCACTTTTCTTCTTGTATATTCTTGCACTCTCTGACGTTCTTCTTTATCTCTTCTCATTTCGCTCCGTTTTTCATTTGTTCGAGTTAAAGTGGAGGATTCAAAACGTTTAAGAGATTCCATCGCCTTATCTACAGAGTGCGAACTTCTATGATTTACATGAGCACGATTTAATTTTTGTAAAATAGAAGCTGATGAAACTGGATTGAAAGTGTGACGAAACCATTCTTGAATCTTTTTCCCTGTGTTTTTATCTGAATTTTTCATGTGTTGCTTTTTAGTAAATAATTTGTTGAGAGTATAATCGTCCATTTTAGATTTTTAACCTTACAAAGGAGCGAAACTTACCAAGTCATTGTTTAGAATTCTTTAATTGAGAACGTTCAATAAAACATTTTAATTGTTATAATGGCAATTTGTTTTGTTGACTTTATTGGTTAAAATTAAAATAATATTGTTATAATTTTAAAATAAGATATGGATGAAAAAGATCAGCCATTATGATATGGAAAACATGATTTATTACATGATAATGATGTTTCAAATAAGAACTTCAATACTATAATAACAAAATAAAATAAACAGATACTGTACAGATGGCTTTTGGGGATCTTTTGCTCTGTGGGCATTAAAAGGGCATTTTTTGATATCCATCATTGGTTGAGTCAGGTTCACAATTGCCTAGCCAAGTGGTAATGGACGGAGCCCGTCATATTACAGGGGCAGATCGTCCTCGAAAAATTCGATCCCAAGATTCGAATTTTATTTAAAAATGTATTCATTATTTTATATACGCAGAGCATTAGGAAAGTTTTGCAAACCCCACAGAAGGTGCCACATTGCAATACAGGGGTGCCTAAAGAAATAGTATGCATCACTAAAGCCTTAGATTTAAAAGTAATTACACTTCTGTAGGGTCTCATTTTTTGGTCAGGACTCACTATAATCTACTCAAAGCTTGTAGAATATAATATTTGCTTTAGAAATGAGTTTTCTTTTAAAAATCGCCTCAAACAAATCAAGTTCATTGTCAAAAACAAATTAAAATTCCATTAATGAAATTAAATTATTAAAAAAAACGGTTTAATAAATTCGGCTGGAAGTGAAATAAGTCTTCCAGCCGAAACGATGGAATGTTTTCACTTTTGGCAATAGAAATAAGTGCAAATAAAATAAAATATAATGTCTTTTCTGATCAAAATATAATTGAAAATTTAAATTGTTGACATTTTATTAAGTATTTTGTTCAATATATCTCAGGGATGGTGATGCTTTCCGAGCATCGCCATCCCTGAACAAAGCTGGAATGCAGTAAAACGCGTAAACTGTAATAGCTCTCTGAAATATGAAGAAACTCTAGATATAACAATTTAGAAACAAAATTTTTATTCAATGTTTTATGTAAATTTTATCTGTCTTTTATATTTGACGGCCGGATGACCATTGCAGCCCACTTCTCTGGGGACCCAGGATCGCTATCCAGACACGTGAAAAACTCCCATAGTTTTCTGAGGGGTGGTCTGTTAAGATACGCCGCCAATTATGATCTTAGTCGAACCCATAATCGGCTTGCTTTAAAAGGAGAGTCCTCTTAGTGCCCACAGGGCGGAAAGCAACGAGTTAGAATATACTATATAGAGTGGCTGTGATCTTAGATACAGAGCTCTTGGTGGCTGAAGGGGGATTGGAAAATTACTAATCTGAAATGCATTGTTAATTTAAATAGGCGAAATAAAGTGAACTGTTTAATCTTGGTTTCTCTTAATTGCGAATAATTAGAAAAGACGTGATAGATACCACTAGTCTCACTTTTAGAGGAAACCTTCGCTTATAAGTTTTTATATTTTTAATTATTATCGAATGTTTAGAAATGCAGTTAACGAGATTTGCACATAATGTATTAACTTATTGGTACAGAATATTTTTGTATTATTTGGAAACGTTTACATAAATGGTTAAAGAAAGAAATGTCTTGTTATTTACTTTCAAAATTTTAAAAAGAAAAGTAAGTATGGTCATTTTGACTCACACCATCTCAATTAAGGACTAAAATTTTTTTTTCTTTGCACAATTTTACACGAGTTAGAATATTCTAGCTCGTTATCTTCACACAATACAAATGGCGCGGCCCTTGACTAAAAGAAAAATGGTGGACGTGTATTCAATTTTCTTTAAACATGGCGTCTCTACAGCCATTCTATAAAGTATATTCTAGCTCGTTGGCGGAAAGACAAAAAACAAAATAATAATAATAATAATAATGGTTTCTTGGGATATAAAAAGTTAACTTCAAATTGTTTAGTTGTTTATATTAGTCAATAATAAACTTTAAACAATAATTAGTAAATTGTTTAGTTAAAAACTATTGCAATTGTTATTGCAAATTCTGCGTTAGGTGTGTGTTATTCTTTTACATTTGTCTTAAATGATAAAAGGCTTGATAAATGGAAATGACTTTAAACTCTTAACCATAAATAAAAGATAAAAAATTCATATGAAAATTAAAATACTGGTATTCAATTGATAGATCTGCTTATCATCAATGATAACTACGTTTGTTAATGTAAATATTTTATACAAAAAAAAATGAAAGAAATGATTCAAAACTGAATCTAAAATGTAAGGAGTACAAGTATAGAAAATACAATTTTAAATTGTAAAGTAGAAATTAAATGTTTTTCGCGTAAAAATATAATTTTGAAAACGTAGATTCAAAAATAGCTTAAGAATGGCGCAGAAGGAATTCAGAAGATTTTCCGAAAAATAAAATGTCAGATAAATTTTGATTAGAAAATACGAGTTTGAAAGAAAAGCAACACGTTGAATACAAATATTTAGTTATTATAGCTTTTTAAATTGTAGATCTTGTAGTTTTATATGTTCATAGAAGCGGGGACATGCATTGAGATTATCAAGACTTTCAAATTTTTATTATTAATTATAAAAATACGAATAAAAATACAAATAAAAAATAATTTTTTTAATAAGAAAATCATAAAAGAAGCGCGAGAACGAGAAAAAGTAGACATAGAAAATAAAAAACGAAACTTATGTAGAAGAAGAATGGCAAACAGCAACATAAGAGCGTCACCTAAACTTAATTAGGATTTAACAAGATTCGTTCTATTTTATGCAAATATATTTCTTAAAATTTAAATTTAACTTCAAGAATTTATTTATAATCACTTAAATTATCGCATAAATATAACAAATAATTATTAATATAAACATAATTTCGTAATCGAATTGACTCGTCTCGAAAAAAAAAAAAAAAAAAAAAATTATTCTGGTAATAAAAATGACATCACGCCCATCACGTGTGTCGCTGCTGTAATGCCACGTCGCGTGCCGATGACGTCATGCTAAAGTGCTGAGTGAAACCAAACGAAGGAGGAGGACGCCATATTGATTGCTTGATACTTATTAAACGGTATTTAAACGCTTAAAAACCGTATCACCGCTGCTTTATCGTAACTAAAACATTTCTAGTGTATTTATAATGTCAACAATGAATCCGGAATAGTAAGTATTTCCTTTTTACAAGCGAAATTTGCCTCGTATCCACACTAACCCTAATTTTGAATTAAGACATTTAAAAGAATGGGAATTACGCGTCAAAGACGAACAATTATTGCCGTTTAATTGTATTTAAAGCCGTTGAATATAATTAATTTACACGTAATTAATGTAAATTAACTAAGCGATAAAAAATTTTTAAAAAAATATTAACGTGTTTTATGGATTTCTTTATGACGTCATTTCCCCAGGTGTATATTACTTCCTTTTAAAAAATTCAAATTTGAATCGGTGAAATGGATTAATTTATCTCAGAAATGATCACGTGTTAGTTCTAGATGTTGAAGTTAATTACTCATGGTTCACGAAAGTGCTATGTAATTGAAAATATCATTTTTGCATGTGAAAGATTGAAGTATTTCGAAATTTCTGAGTAAATTTCATTAGTATTTTCGTAAATGTTTTACGAGTTTATTGAGTTACCTGTTGGCATTATGCTGAAAGAATGTCCTCCTCACTTCATGTTGTTTTATCTCTTTGGTAATAAATGCGATTTTATATAATTTTATCGCTGCCGTTTTTGAGGAAATATGTTGCAAGGGAAGTTATATTAATGTATGCTGAAAGGGAAAAATTTTATATATAGGATTTCCTAATAATTTATTGCATTTTTTTAATAGGTTATTTAGAGTAATTCAAACTACAACAGCTAAATTTTAAGGCATTTTGGAAATATCTTAATGATTTTTAGTTGATTTTTATCATTTGTATGGTTGTCCTTTTGATTAGATAGTTTGTATTGTTCTAAATGTAATGATATACTTCATAAAGCTTTATTTTCTTTATATGTAAATGCAGTTAATTGATTTTAATTGACATTTAATAGTTCAAAAGTCATTATTAATGAAATCATTTACCATTTCAGTAACATTAAAACTATACACACACAAGATAAGATAAAAAAAAAAGAAAATGGTATGAAGCAGTAAATTTTGTAATTATAATAGCAAATTTCATTATATATATGATAAATCCTTTAAACTTTAATCAGTGATAAAACCCTGATATCCTATGTAAATGCAAATTCAAAATTTACTAAATTTTTTTCCATTTGAACAAAGTCAATGGTATTTAATTAAATAATAAATTATTTAAGCAATTATTTTATGTAGAAATATTGCTATGGATAAGTTAAATGATTTTATAATAATGTTACACATTTTTCCTGATGTAGATTTTTAAATTTTAGTACAAGCATTATAACAAATTTTGTTGTATCACTCAATGAAAACTTTGTTTACAGAAATGTAATGTATGTCTGGGATGTTTAATAAGTTTGATTTTGGATGTTAGGTTAGGTTCAACTTCATTTTCTAAAATTTGTAATTTTGTACAAACAAAATTACAAATGTTAAAAATTTCGACAAATTCTTAATAAGTTTTTGTAAAATCTTTTTATTACTCCTTTTATTGCAAATAAGTAATATAACCTTGAATGTAGGTGGTAACTTTAGAAATACAATGAATAAAAATTTCTATTTTTGATATTTAGTTACATAAACATACAAAATTTGCTGAAGAAATATTTTTATAATTAATGTTCATTTAATGTGGAAGTTAAATTCTTAAGTATTCTACAATTGTTGAACATGAAAACAGTAAATATCATCACTATAAAAAGTACAATGCAAATTTAAAGTTGCAAACTAATATAGGAAGACTGATTTTAATCTGCTTGTATTTCTAATTTATATGTATATTAAGACAGTGTTATAAATTTTGGTTGATGCGGCACAAAGAATTTTATTTCAAAAATGAGTTTGACAGCTGAAACCAATAAGACAAAGCTACAACTTCAAGAATTATAATTGTCAGATAATTAATAAATGGAAGTTGAATCTAGAAATTAAATGGGATTTTAATTACAGTATAAATATATTTTTTTTGAAGTTGTTATGACAAACATGTTTTATTTTAAATAAGTTAAAGCAATATTTGTGATTCTGCAATGTAATTTTTTCCTTCAACTCTAAACAATATCTAAATGGCAATCCATTAGTTTTATAAAATTTACAAAAGAACTTCCTCTTGCAACATCTTTTATTTTGAAATGCACTTCTAAATATGTACAGTATGATATACAATAAACAAACTAGAGGAACTATTGAAGCTGTCTTTGTTCTTCATATAAATTAACCAAAGTGTTATTAAAATGTAATTAATTTTATGTGTACTAGTAAATCCTTTGCTTTGTAAACATTTATGCTTACAAGCATTTTGACTTAATAAATTATATTCTGAGATTGTTCGCAGGTAACTTTTAAATTTTTATTTACAAGTGATTTAAACTTCAATGTCCAATTTGAATACCTCCTTACATTTAAAATTTAATCTAAAAATGATAAGTGAATTTTCCAGCATTATTTTAATACAAACATTAAAAATGGGAGGATTTTGTTACAAATAAAAATACTGAACAAAATTAAATACTTGCTTACATAAAGCATTGTTTCCTATAATATAACTAATAAGATACAGATACAAATTATATAAAATTGAGCTGCATTTGTTTCCAAATGACTTGAATTATAAATTAAATGAATGTGGTAATCTTGAATGCTCATTGTAAAAAGAATTACACTTTCAATCCTAAATAGGAAAATTGAATTTGTTTTTATTAATGAATTGTTAATGTGTCATAAATCAACTTTCATTTTGAGGAAATGAATGGAATTATCCAAATATATAAGCTATGCAGGTGTGGAAAAGTTATGAATATCTGAAAATTTTAGAATTGAAATATTAAAAATGTATAAAATTACTTGGATAAGTTATATAGGGGACACTGATGTGTGACAACCACTTTTGCACATCATCATTGATTTATTGGAATATTTCACCAATGACTGATAGTGCAGAATTCATCATTATTACAAGGAAATCATCTAGATCGGGTTTTTCTAGACATAGGCAATAAAATCGGAATCTTTAATAATCCAAACATGCTAAATCTATTATTTAAAGTTCTAAATTGGCTCCTCTCTTATCTGAAATTTTATTGTTTAGTTTGAANATTAGAAAATGAAGCAAAACAAATGTTACTCTGTAAATAAATTTTTCAATTTTACTATATTCTTAGCATTGTTATCTGTTAGTATTGAACCTTATGTTTCAAAAAATAATAATAGCAATAATTACAATTTTTTAAAATTAATTGCAACTTTCTTTTCTCTATTGGGACATAGAGAAATTGTTTGTTGTTTTGCATAAAAGATAATTAAAATAAATTTAAGTGTTCTAGTAATTTTATTAATGTTTGTTTCAAAAATTTGTCTGCTTTTTAAAATTTTTAATTGGTTGAGTAAAAGGGAATTAGCTGTAATTTGTTTGGGGGTAGGGTGGTGTTGCAATATTAACTTTACCCAAAATAAGATTAGAATTTTATTTCGTAATACACAATAAAAGCATATGTATCCATTTATAAATGGAGAATTTTCACGTTTTTTTCAAAATATTGATTCTATATTTCAGATTGTTTTCCATTCTTAAGCTTGATGTTTATTAATTAATGGATGTATTATGCTTGTATGTAAATTGTTAATTTTTCTAAACTAAAATAAATTTAAAAGAATCAGAATCTGGAAAAATTTTGGTATCATCCCATCACTAATTAATACAATAGTCATACTTTATAATAATCAACATTAGTTTAAAAAAAATTCCCTTTGAATTATATTATTTACATTATTTTGATCATTTAATTTGCTATTTACCAATGTATAAATTCGAAATAAATGTAAAGTAGTGTAAACACTATCTAAATGGATACAAAATTTTCAAAATTCAGAATAAATTAAAATAAACATTGATACTGACAAGAATATATTATAATTAATGAAGTGAAAAATTCTACAGATTAATTATAAGAAAAAATGTTGGCAAAACAAAATATACAAGATTTATTTACCAATGTATAAATTCGAAATAAATGTAAAGTAGTGTAAACACTATCTAAATGGATACAAAATTTTCAAAATTCATAATAAATTAAAATAAACATTCTGTAAATAATTTTAGGATTTGTTAATTTATCAAAATGTTTGTTTGGATTAGTCTGAATTATTATTAGTGACTGTTAGGAAGTATTAAAGATCCCTTTAAAATGGTTCATTCTATATGAATTCATATGGATATAGTTCTGTTAGGAATGAGATTCTGAAATTTAAAGAAAATTGTTCAGAAAGCAGACCAAGGAGAGGAAAAAAGTGCCATGTGCTGAACAGATTATGGTTGAATGCAAGCTTTTGCATATTTTTGAGAGAGAAAAATTTTTTTACATAGTTTTATTGTAAGAAATGCCATACTTCTCTGAACAGATTGCTTGTCAAGCTTATTTTCTTAAACCTACATAATATGGGGTGTCTAAAAAGATATTGTGTGGTGAGAAATTTGTAATGACAATTAAAGTTATATTTAATGTCATTTGAAAATTTCTTGCTTCACAGTATATCTTTTCAGAGATGTATTAAACTAAAAGAATCCTATCAAGGTTGTAAATCTAATTTTTTTTTTATCAATATTAAAATGGTACTGCAGTATTATCTATATTACAGCCCATTTACTTTAAATATTGTACAGTAGTTGCCCTAGTTTCTTTTTTTTTTTTTTTTTTCAAAAAGTAATAATTAACACATACTTTACCAATAGACATGATTTTAAATTCTGTTGCTTTATAAGACAGCATAATCAATGAATTATAGGAATTTTATCAGTTTACAATATATTTTAAGTATAGCCCAATATTAAATGCTATACTGTGAAGATTAATAAGGTACTAATTTAAAATTTTTGGAATATATGGCATTAAATGCAGCTCCGAATGAGACAGTTAGTTAGGAATCCCTGGATAAAAGTCAAAGGAACCATATCTAATTGTAACACCAAGAAAATGGTTGATATTTAGCATTTTTATTTTAAATTTTATCCCATTTTTGAGAATCTTAATA